CCAGAGGGCTAGCCTAGATTCAAGGGGAAAGAGGAAGCAGACCACATTATGAGGGAAGGAATGGCAAACAATTTGCAGTCATGCTTAATCCATCACCGTCTGCTCTCCAGCCACAAGTGATTTAAGTTCCTCTTACATGCAAAATACACTAACCCTCTCCCAAGCCAGCAAAAAGTTTCATCCCGCTGTGGCATCAAATTCAGACTTGAAGTGCAGGTTCTTTTTACCTAAGTCAAACCCAGGAAATAATGGGACCACACCCCTGAGAATCTCAGAAGTCTTTCATCTTGCTGAGAGCATCTAGGAGCCACTGTCTTACACGTTTTTAAAGTTTTAATACCTGGTCTGCCAGCTATTAGGTCGCTGGGAAAGTCTTGATGTATTTTTCTATGCAAAAATGTATCATGATGACCAGATGACCCACTCTGTCTTTCCAGAAGACCCAATCTGTTCTTGCTTTTGTTTTCACCTTGAGACCAAGTTTTTACTGACAGTACAGTAATGCTCCAGGTCCAGTCCGAGGTCATTCTTTGAGGACCTTTTGCTGGATAAGAAAGTGGGAACGCAAAGCAATTTTATGACCCCAGAAAATTCTGGATTGGAAATGTTTCTTCTAAAGTCTGTTTAAAATCTAGAGTTTCTGCTTTATCTCTTTTGTACTACTTTGATCACAAGCGGTTAAAAAAAAAGGAGTCATTTGTGTTTCCAAATTCCTGCTAGACAATCTAAATGAGATCCTCAAGCCTATTAGGCTTATTTATGTTCCATGTTGCTGTAGGTGACAGTCTGGCTGATTTTTCGGTTAATATATGGCATCTTCACAGAAAATGCATGTCATGAAAAAACAATACATGGATTTTATTTTATTTTGCACCAAAATGAACTGACACTTAATTTCATTTTCTCCCCCAACAGAGAAGCAGGAGTCACATGGATTCAGAATTTGACCCTAGGCTATTGCAGTATTTGACAGTTTCTAGTATGTGGTACACAATAAATATTTAAACAATAACTGAATGTACAAAAATGCAAAAGGCAGAAAAAAGTGTTTAGATGTCTAGGTAGAGCAGAAGTCCCCTCATATAAAACAAGAATACTATTTTACACCCTCCAATTATAATTTTGTTGCTGACCTTTAGCCACCATCAATAATATTCCGACTGCCTGTCACACCTTCACTGCCACCTGGTCCCAAAGCCAATGCCAGGTGTTTTGTCATGGCAGCACTTCACCGCTAGGTACCAGGCTTTTTTATTTTCTTTTTTTTGTTTCTTCCTTAGTTCTTTATTCTGTATAATAAACCACACTAAAACTGCATAGCTAAGAAAACAATGCGTGATTCTCATGGCTCTGTGGGATAACGAGGCAGTCTACGTAATGACAGCCTGGGATGGCCAGGAGGTCCAAAGTGCCTTGGTCCCAGGGCTGGTGCTGAGGCTGGCTGCTGGCTGGGAGCCCAGCTGGGTGCTGACCAGTGGCTTTGCCTGGCCTCCACTGGTTGTTCAGGCCTCCTCACAAGCAGAGGGCTAAGTTCTAATAAGGAGCATTTTAAGCAATGCAAAAGCAGAAGCAACATACCTATTAAGACCCAGCCTTAGAAATCATTCCATATCATTTCTGCCACTTTTTTGTATTCAAAAAAAGCTAACAGGGCTAACTAATTCAAAGGGAGGTGAAATAGACCTCATTTCCCCCTGGGAGGAGTTGCTAAGCATTTACAGCAACCTTTAATCTACACAGGAAGTCATGAGCATTTAAGTAGTGGACAGTGTCATAAAAATGAATTCTTCGAGAGAAAGAATTTAGACAGTAATGAATAAAATCTCTGTTCCTTTAATAAAATACCAGCTGAGAAAAGATGATCAGATGAAGAGTAAATGAGGATAGTGAAGCAGGGTCAGTGAAGTAAAAGAGAAGCATAGAGTTTCTGGAGCCCAGAAACCACTTTCAAGAGGCAGACATTACAGTCAAATAATGCAGCGAAACCAAAGGAAAATGGAGACGTGTAACTTACCCAAAGCTGTAGAGTGGTAATGGGTCTGTGAAACAGCCGTAAGTAATTCTCCAAATATTAGGAAAAGTACCCTAACCATCTGAAGTCTCCAGAAAAAGTTACTGAATAAATAAAATAATATATATACATATAAATAAAAGTTACTGAATGAATTAAATCCATGAGAACTCTAAAAATCCTAATAAAATTTGAGTTGTTATGAACTGTAGGGAACATTTCTTTACTTCTTGTTTCTGGAAGTTACAGAATGCATCACGTATTTGTCTTTTTAGAAAAAGAGTTCTCAATTCTTTGATGTTTTTGTAAGCTACTATCAATATATGATCTAAAATACATTTAAAATGAAAGAAGCTGCAGCCACATTGTTGTAATAACGGCAGAGCAGGGGCCACTGGCGGCTGGCTAATTCTTAGAAGATATAAATAGAAAGCGACTTCAAACCTTCTCCACCACCTTTCATTGTTTACATTTCCCTGGTGACCTCTTCCCTCTTTCCACCTAACAAAGCCATAGTAGAGGAGAGCCCACCTCAGCCTGCGCAGGCTCTCCTTGCAAATGACAGGGAGATAGCAGAGACCAGGATTCTATTTAATCCCCATTCTCCCATGGCAACTTACCATTCACAAAAGAACAACCATGTAAGCTATTTAATCCAGGAAGAAATGTAGAAATAAGAGTACTCTCTTTATAAATAAAGGAACTGTTACAGACCTCCAAGGAGTCTTAGCTTCTTCAGGATTTATGATGACAAAGCATGGGTCTATGGCCGAGAATCCTAATTTGAATAAAACCATGAGGTTGGTAGTGTTGATTCTGACCACATAGTCTAATTACTAATAGGTCTTTCTTGTACAATAAATGTGAAGCTGCGAATATAGTTCAGACAATTCTAGGTCATAATTCTTTTTTCCAAACTATAAATTAGAATGGGGAAGGTACTTTAGTTCTGAGACTAACAAACAAGTGTTTTCTAGAAATACTTAAAAATTCGACTAAGCCCCTCATCTTGTTTCATTTTTTTAAATGATAGAAGATGTGTGTATGCACGCATGAGAGAAAGAAGGAAAGAGAGCGAGAGAGAAGCATCCTAGACAGGGTCTGATCATCTTGCAACTCCCTTTCCTCAGCCCTCCAGCTCTGCAGGATCCTGGGCGCCCACGTGTTTTCAGGACACCTCATGGATAGAACCTGCAATGGACCATGTGGCTCCAGCACTGACTAGGCTGAGAGCCACTAATCTTATTTTTTTTCTCTAAAATTAACATTTAGATATGTCCAGGTATGGACTGTAGGCACTATAAAGGCATACCTAAGAAATACAAGCCTTGTCTCTGCTTTTCCAAGATGTGTTATCCAATCCTGTTGTTGAGATAAGACGTGGATAGCTGAAAGCTGGCACCACCATCTCGTGCTATCATTTCAGTGCTCAAATGAGAGGGATGATGGGCGAAACATAATAAAAACGACATTTGATTCGATACAAACAAAATGTCCGAGAAGAGTGGACGAAACATTACGGAACAGCAGTACCTATCAAAAAGAGGCCAAGATTTCAGTCTGTTCATGCAGCACATATTTAGAATACACATTATGTGCTAGGTGCAGTTCTAAGTGTTAAGGAAATATAGGTGTACAAGAGATCTCTGCTCTTGTAGACTTCACTGCATCGTGAGGGAAGAGGTGGCAACTGGGCATATAAACAAGTTAAGATTAGAAATGTGGCCCAGCCAGTGGCATGATGTTTAAGGGGGCTGGATCCCACACGGCTGACTGAGCAATTCAAGTCCCAAACAAAGCTGCTTAAAAGACACGCTAGGCCCATGCATATGTGTATCCAAAATTCTGAAAGGAGAAGTGGAGAAGAGACCGGCCATCCCCAGGAGGGGTGCTTTCTTAATGCCCCCATCCTATCTCTCCAGGAACATCTTAGGGTAGAGAGTTTTGGGTTATTTAGCAAAGACAGTAGGAATATTAATCATTCTGTTTACTTTAGGCAAAAGGATAAAGCATATTTCCAGTATAGAGAAGAGTTCAAAATGGAGGTCTACTTCAGTAAGAGGGACAACCAAGGTCTGTAACCAAGACAATGACTTGGGTAGTAAGCAGTCTATGAGTGATGGAAGAACTACTGAAAACCCCTAAGTGGAGGACTGACGGTATCTGGTATCGGTTTTAAAAAATTTAGTCAACTCAATGAATCAACATGGAAAGGTAGATATCCCTAAGAAGTCAAGAAATCCTCACTTTTGTCTCTCTTAGGTAGATAAGAGACTCACTCTTCTTACCACTGATTCACCTGGACTGTGTATTCTGAACTGGATACTTTTAAGACATATGCTATAGTCACACTAGAGTTGTGTTATTTAATACAGTGTACAAACTCATTATTCAATATGCTGAAGTCATATTGGTCTACTATATGAACAGTCTGCCCCAGAGCTAATTAAAGATTAATTTAAGGTGAATCTTCCACATTTATAAAATAGGTATGATGTTTGCAGGAAGAACAGAGTACAGGCCTTGCTTATTTCCGATTTCCCTAACCAAGACGCATGGTCATCTTTAGCTTTCAGAAGAAATGGCAAACTGTCTCTCTATGCATTAAAAATGCTACTTTAAACACAAATAAAAAGCAAATAGACATATTTTCTATATCCCCAGGGAGACATAGAGAGTCGAAGTCTTTCTGATATTTATCATATTCCTTAGATCTTTAATGTTAAAAAAAGACAAGTATCAAACATACATGTACTTTCATGTAAAACCCAGGAGCACAAAAAGATGACATTTTTACTAAAATGTATGCAAATGCAATTTTCTGTTTAATTGGTTTATAAAGAGCAAAAGAATTTTACTCAAAATGTCTATCAGCATAGTTTTATTTTTTTTCTTATATAGTAAGTATTCAAAATTTATTTGCCTCAAGCTATCAGGTTACTTGTAATTATCTTTACCCTGTATTCACAATTCAGGCTGTTAATCTTACCCTATGAATGCTGCTCAACCGGAAACTCCATGATTAGTTTCAATATAAAATAAATTCCTAGAAAGAAATCATAGACATATTGTCATATTTTATATATCATAGGACAAGATGATTTTATCCATTTATGTGGTTCTAAAATTTCCAACAAATACAATATTTTTTCACTACTATTTTTAAATTAACTTTTACTTACATTTAATCATTGTATATATTTATAGGATACAATATGGTTTTTCAAAGCATGCATACAGTGTAGTCAATAGAGTTGAAAAAGTTACCATATACAGCATCCTCAGTAGATAACTTTCCATTCTTGTGTCTCTTAAATGTTTTTCCCTGAACTCCTTCCTACCACCCTCCACCTACCTACCACCTACCGCCTCCTATAAGGTCTCTGGTATTAAAGTAGGCCTTCATTTTGAACTCCTCTCTATATTGGAAACTTGCTTTCTCTTTTTTCTAGAGTAAACAGCGTGATTAACACTCTTACAGTCTTTGCTAAATAACCTGAAACTCTCTCTACCCTAAAATGTTCCTTGGTGAAGTAATCATCAGTTGCCAGACCCCTTGCCCTGAGCAATGAAGACCATTAAGATTCCATTGTGTATAGGAAGGGATGGAACATACCCTTAGGAATGATTAACCTGCTTGTTTTGCTTCTATAATTAGTTTTGGCTTCATTTTAAAATCCTTACCCTCTACCCTTTCAAGCCCACGGCTCTTTGTTCTTGTGATTGCCATGTCAACTCGGAAAAGAGTGTGATTTTTGCCGTTATAAGCACCCCTCTCCCTACATTCGGGGCTGTGGGGTTTTGAGAGACATGACTGCCCACCCCCCATGCCACCGGCTTAATCAATAAACTCCAATAAATTTGGCTGTGCCTGGATGTCCTCTTATTTCTGAGTAGACTATAACAGTATCTACACCTATCCTCCCTGCTATTATATCTTCCAGTCTTTCAATTTCTGCCATACAGTGCAGGCATATAGTATATATTGAGTAGGGACATACAATGTCTTTCAAAGACTAGCTTACTTTGCTTAGCATTAAATCTTTCATATTTATTTACTTTGTATCAAATGACAGGGTCCGTTTTCTATGACTGAGTAGTATTCCATAGTGTATGCGTGCCACATTTTTTCAATCCAGTCATCTGCTCTTGCACATTTATGTTGGATCCTTGTCAATTGTGAATATTGCTGCAATAAATATGGATGTGCAAGTGTCTTTTTGACTGAGTGTTTTTATATCCTTTGGGTAAATACACAGGAGTGGTATTATTGAGTCATATGATAATTCTTTTTTTTTTTGGGGGGGGGGTGGTTTTTAAATATAGGGTTGTGTGTGCTGGCCAGAAAGACAGAGAAAGACAGAGAGAGAGAAAGCAAGAAATCACCCCCCGGTGGGGGTGGTGGTGGTGGTGGTGATCACGCTGCAATCCCTTCTCCTCCATTCTCTTCTCAGGATCTTGGGCACTCATGCACACACGCCTGAGGTGGAGTTTAAGCCACCGGGTCCAGGACTTGAACTGTGGTCGACCACATGGGAGTCCAGCGACATAGCCATCATGCCAACTGTTGGTCCCGGTCATATGGTAATTCTATTTGTAGGTTTTTGAGGAAAAAAATCCCTACAAATAGAATGATTGTTTTCCACATTGGTTGTACTAATTTACATTCTCACCAATAGTGCAGGAGGGTTTCCTCTTCACCATAGCCTCATCAGCACTTGCCGTTCTTTATTTTTTAAGCACAGCCATTCTGATTGGGGTTACGTGGTATCTCATTGTGGTTTGGATTTGCATTTCCCTTATGATAAGAGATGTTGACCGTTTTTTCATATGTTTTTGGTCATTAGTATATATTCCTTGGAGAGTTGCCTGTTCAGCTCATTTGCCCATTTTTAAATTTTTGTCTGGTTTTGGTTGTAGACAAGGTGCTTGAGTTCTCTGTAGATTCTGGTTTATCAGTCCTTTATCTGAAGCATAGCTTGCAAGTATTTTCTCCCATTCTGTGGGTTATCTTTTCACTCTGATTAGTGTACTCTTTGCTGAGTGGAAACTTTGTAGCCTGATGTAGCCCAACTTATCCATTTTTGGAATTACTGACTGTGGGTTAGGGGTTTTATTTAAAAATTATTTGTGGGGCCAGGAGGTGGTATAGTGGTAAAGGTATTGGCCTTTCACATGGCAAACCACAGTTCCAATCTCAGACCCACTGGCCTGAAACTTGCGTCAGACATGTACGTGTGCATGCCCAAATCCCAAGAGGGGAATGGAGAAGGGATTGCAGTATGGCCATCCCCCTGGGGAGTGGTTTCTCACTTTCCCTCTCATTGTCTCTGTCTCTCCAGTGAAAGCATATGCTCTATGGCAAAATCTTATAATTTTTTTTCCAAATTAAAAAAATGATTTGTTTCTTGAGGAGAGAGAGACAGGCACCCCAACACTATCTTCGTGCCATGACTCACTCCCAGTCTCAATTAGCAGGCTGAGATTTTATAAATAAAAGTTGGAAAAGCAAATTCAAAATACATTTGTTTCTTATATTAAGTAAGGGAAACATGAGAAAAGACTTAAAGTTTGGAATAGTTTTCTTCATCCACTTGTGTTTTGTTATTTTTGTTAGCCTGCTGGTTTTGCACAAGTATGGCATTACAAAATGTAATGGAACAGTATTGAGATCCGTTGCCTCTTAATAAATATCATAAGCTTTCTTGGTACTACTATAAAATTTCTTAAAACATCTTTTTTTTTTGGAGAGGTTTTGCTACAGGGTGTGTGCACTCAACAGAGAGAAAGAGACAGACAGAGAGACAGAAAACGAGAAATCCCCCACCAGGAGGGATGGCCATGCCACAATCCCTTCTCCTCCATTCCCTTCTCAGCATCTTGGGCATGCACACACACACACCCGGCATGAGTTTAAGCCACCGGGTCTGGGACTCCAATGTGGTTGACTACATGGGAGTTCAGCAACATAGCCATTATGCCAACTGCTGGTCTCTTAAAACAGCATTTTCAATTGAAGCATAATAGTTTATATAAATATGTCATAGATAATAAAATTGTTCTCCTAATGAATTCTAGATTATTCTTTTTTATTACTAATAATGTTGTGAATGTCTCTGTACTGTTCATATGATTTCTTTTGTATACACTGCCAAAATGAGAGTACTGAGGGTCAAAGAGCATGAGCTTTTTCAAGTTCATTTGTTTCTTCCATGGGAGAAGGAGACAGAGAGAGAGCAAGAGACAGATATCTCTAATGGTCTTTTCATGCTGCAATCCTACCCCCAACCCCACCCAGCTACAATCACACACACACACATATGTGCCCAGTATGTACAAGGAGACATTTGGGAGGTGAAGCCAAGACCCTTCCCTATGGCCTCAACATCATGAACATCTGTGTGACTGCCATGCCACTGTGGCCAAACACGAACATGTTAAGGCCTCTGATACATCACATCAATTATTTTCCAAAATGGTTATACCAACTTTATTCCTATAAATAATATATGAGTAGCCTCCTTAAGAGCTGTTTTTTAAAAATCATCATTTAAAAAAACTCAGTAAAAAAAATGATCTTGTTTCTTTATTTTGTTCTTTTTGCATTGGGTTCAACATTTCTCAGCATGATTATTAATGAATTTCATTCTTTTCTTTTTCTAAATTGCTTTTCATTGCCAGCAGGCATATGTGTTTCACAGAGAGGGACAGAGAAAGTGAGAGAGAGAGAAAGCCCCTCCCAATGAGGTATAGTCACATGCAATCCCTTCTCCATTTCTCCATCCTGTCAGGATTTGGGGGCACATGTGCACATGCAATTGGCATGTTTTTCAAGTCATTGGGGCTGGGATTTGTACCATGGTTGGCTATGGAGGATCTGGCTCCCTTAATCTCCCACATTCCAGCTTTTCTACTTAACATTTACCTAGGCAAGAAGAATGTCTTAACTGAGAAGACGTAAACGAACAACTTAATAAAAGGTCTCTCAAAATGACAACTTGTATTCTCAACTGGGCCGGACTGAGGTGTATATCATGCTGGGTAAAGTCTCTTGACAATCTAAGTGGTGTATAGTGATTAAATGTACAAATAATAATAGAAAGATGACAACTTGTCACATTGGGGTGAAACCATTACTTCAAATAAAAGAACTAATAAAATGTAGCTCTGCTTCTTTATCCAGGCTAAAACCTAACCATTTGTGCTTTTAGAAACCAGCTAAAGTTATCACTTTTCTTCCTCCTCAGCAAAACACAAAAGTACCAAGTTAGAAGGATGAAATGTAAAAATACTAAAAGGCAAAATGGCAATGCTTCTTAGAATAGAGTATCATCTATATTAGGCAGGATGAAAAGAGGACAAAGACTGTCACAGCATTTCTGACAGACCCAGCTGCTGAGGAAGGCAGCCTGCGCCTATGGGTTTTCAGCTTGCTATGCTGTTACGTGTTACAAAACTAGCTTCACCTACCCTCTCAGAAACTTTCTCTTCCCAGAGGCAGAGCACAAGACACGTTTATTTTAACTTAAATGGTCAATTCTGGGATAACTTTAGAAAATGTATTCTGAAAGATTTGGAGATGATGAGCTTAACACTAAGAATCTCCCTCCCTCTTCAACAAGAACTTCTTCCAGAACATTCCCAATGAGGGACATGAAGGAAATACTCTCATGTGACTGGAGATTAAAGGAAGAAAGGAAGCATGAGCCTTTCTTTAGAAAAACAAAAGGTTCTGGGGCCAGCAGGTGGTGTGGTGGTTAAGGGCGCTGGACTCCCACATGGCTGGCTGTGGTTCGAGTCCTAGACCTGGCAGCTTGCTTTCTTTCTCTCTCTCTCTCTGTCCTTCTCTGGTCAAATTCAAATAAATAAGTAAATAGATAAATTTAAATAAAATAATTCTTTAAAAAAAGGAAGAAAAACAAAAAGGCTCTTAGACTTTCACTTGCAAAGTGGAGACATTTCGATGGTCTTACTTGTTACCCTCTTGCCAGCAGATAGTGAAGATGGACAAAACAAATCTTTGTAGCAGAGCAAAGAACTACTATA